TATTCTTTTTAACCTTTTTATCATTTGATTTCCTTATATGAAACCCATACAGATTTGGAACTTATACCAAAGGTTAATAGCACAGAGATTTTGTTTTATTCTCTATCTTATATATACGTAGCTTTAAAATTGTACATGTATGTGTGATGTTAAATTCAGTTGAATATTGGAAACGTCCCTGAAGGGAGGTCATTTGGCATTACCTGACCACCTGGTATGGTCAGACACTGCTGGCCACAGCCAGGAGCAGCTGTGGAAGATGACACAGCTGTGTGCTGCTGAGCCATGCCAGTCCACAGCCAGGACAGTCCCACCGCTCTAGGTAGGAGAGTCCCAGTGAGGACAGAGTGCTTACTGGCCATGGTGCTATGTAGAACGAGTATTCTTTCTAGAACATCTTGCCTTGTTTTCTACTTCTCTCAAAAAAAGGCAGTTGGATCATTTTTATCCTTTTTAATGTTGTTACGCAGTTTTTTGGGTATGAGACTAGCCAGCGATGCAGATATCCACTGTTTTTAGCTAGAATTTAAGCATGATAACCACAAGAAGGTGGTAAATTCTGGAATCAGACCATCTCTATCACAAGTGGCTGCATGATGCTGAGCACATTACAAACCTTTAAAATATCAGCTTCATCTCTAAAATGAATTAAGTGAATAAGCATTTAACCCACTCTGCTGGCATCTGTAACCCAGGACTGGCTCATCTTCATTTCAGGACCATTGTAGCCCTGGTGTACAACGTGCTGAAAACGCTCATGGAAATGAACGGCAAGCTGTTCGACGACCTTACCAGCTCCTACAAGGCTGAGAGACAAAGGTATCGGACAGTGTGGATTACAGAAACATCTAACATTTTTGCTTCAGTGTGATTTAGTTCAGAAAGGTAGCATCTCTTAAGTTGTCACGTTTATGAAGTCAGTTACATTATGACAGGCACAGTCTGAAAGTGTTGAAACACTTACATCATACCCAGGGAAGCTAGCCTGAGTGTTTTTATCAATTCATTGAACAGAAACAGCAGTAATAATGTATTAAAGCTGTTACATAAGTTACTTCTCATAATGGTTAAATACTGATTTTAATGTAATCTCGTGTCCTGTTTATCTCATCCTGAGCCTTAGATTTCAATAGTCTGGTAGCATCTGCATCATGAGAACAGTTTGTGCTGAATCGTAAATACCAATTTATACGGTTTGATTTCTTACATTGTGAGCATCGCTTGTCCCCGAGATTCTTCACCCGTTCTGGTAGTTTAAGGACAGTGCAGACTCCTTTGGGAAGAGCAACTGCCATGCTCTGGCTCAGGCTCTAGTGATAACGTGGTTTCCCACATAATGCGCATTTGAAGAGGATAAACATAGTCCACATCAGCCTTTAGGAACGTAGCTGTGATTGCCTCCTTGAGAACCTCAGAGAGTACTATAAAACAATCTTTTAAAAACCATTTCCTGGCCGAGGAGCTAGCTCAGCAACATAAACACCTACCTGGAACGCACAAGGGCCCTGCGTCTGATCTTTGGTACCAAAAAGCACACACAAAACCCCACACATTTTCATTTATTTAAAACACCCACTATTTAAAGATAACTAACATTTAATTTAATAATGAGTATTACTTGTTCTGTTTAGAAAAGCTGACCTACTTTTTTAAAAAATGTTGCCATTTAATCTTTTGTTTGGCACAGGGTCTCCCTATGCAGGTCAGCCTTGTAGTGATCCTCTCGTCTCAGCCTCCCCCGTGCTGGGAGTACAGGCGTGTACCACCACGCCCGTCGCGGTGGCCTGGTACCCTGCGCTTGCCAGGCAGATGCTTAGACCACCAAGCTGTCTCCCAGCCCAGGCTGCTTGACTTTTTACTATTAGTCCCTATCGTGATTTTCTTGTCATACAGAAAAAAGGAGCTAGCTTTTCTTCAAGGTTATCCTAGCCCATCAATAACTAACTCCTTGCAGTATTTCTGTGAAGTAGCAGTGTGCAGGCAGGAATACCAACAAGGCACAAAAGCAACAGGAAGAAAGATCAGGATCATATGAAAAGTACATCTGAAAATGTGTATTTCATATAACCATTACTTCATGTTGTCTGTATAAGTCAGCAAATCCATTAAAAGGATTATTGTAAATGGTAGCCACACAAGTATAAGCCCCTGTTTTATATGTTCATGTAGCCTTGAGAACAGTCTGGTCAGTTACTTAGAAGTGTTTTGATTTTCACTCCACCTACGAGACAGGAGAGAATAACATGCAAACAGTGGCTGGGGGATGGCCAGAAGGGCGAGTCCTGCGGGGGGCAGCTCCGTCCTGTCTGTACCTCAGGCCACTGCAGGAAGCCGACATGAGAAAGTAGCAGAGCCCCTGTCGGTCCTTGGGAGGAACACAAGAGTCATGTTCACCCTGCACAAGGGACGCTGACCACACGTGGACCCAGACAGGACCACAGCTATTCAAGTGTGGTGCAGGGACACAGGTGAAATGTAGACATTGGTGTGTTTTGTGACAGCTGCCGGACAGCATCTTCGCTTTGCTTCTAATATTTTTAATTTCTAATCACAAAATTTTGCTTTTCTACAGAGAGAAAAAGAAGGAATTAGAACGTGAAGAATTGTGGAAAAAATTAGAAGAGCTAAAGCTAAAGAAAGCCCTAGAAAAGCAGAACAGTGCTTACCACATGCATAGCCTCCTTGGCAGCACCAGCGCAGAGTAGAAGCGGCCTGCGCCTCTGCAGGGCAGCACCGTCTTGTACACGTTTTAAATACAGAAAAACTGCAAAGCAAACCTCATCAGTATAATGAAAAGGCCAGTCTTTTCTGGCAACTGTAAATGAAAACATATACGGACTAAACAGCCCTGTGCTATATCATGGCCACAGTATATTGTAACCTTTTGTCTAATCATTGATGTATTGTGTCACTTCTGAAGTTTCACAGAAACGAATGAATTTTATCATCTACGAGTGAGGTAATTATGGGAGTGGTAAGAATTATGACTTGAATTCTTTTTTGATTGTGTTGCACACAGATCAAGCAGTCTGCTCTGTATAGTTTTCCTTCTATAATGTGCTTTTCACACTGCTGCAAACCTTAGTTATATCCTAGGACAGAGTATTTCCTAAAATAAACTAAGGTACACCCTTCCTCTTGCCTTCGTCTCTCCGAGAAACACATTGGTGGGATTCCTGCCCTGAGCCCGCCCTATCAGAAGCTGTTACTGTCTTCTGGAATTTGAGTAAAACCTTCGCTCTCCAGGCTTTTAAAGCACAAATTTTAATAAAAGCTGGGAAAGTAAACCAAAACTCCTGAGTGTTCCTCACCAACACCCTGCACCTGTAGTGCCCCAGGGCGCCGCTGCCCCTCGTCCATTCCTCTCTGCCCAGAGGCTGGAGGCAGGGCCTTTCCAGGCTCACCCCACCGGGGTGGAGGCTGCAAGTCCCCGAGTGGGGGTGCACAGCGCCAGCTGTCGTGGCCTGGCCTTAAAGGAAGTGCTAGGCTTCCTCTGTAGAGCACTGAAAAGCTGGCTCCATAGAGGTCTTGTATGTTTTTACCTGGTCAGGTATTTCTCACATCTTTTCTTATCAGAGTACCATTCCAATCGCTAACTTGCAGTTGTGTGGAAACTGTTTTGTAATGGAAGCTCTTCATTGGGGGACTGAGCAGCGTTTAATAAAGTCTATGTTTGTATTTTGCCTTACGTCATCTTTGCTTTCTTCAGCCCTAAGCGACACACCCAGAAGCAGTGGGGTGACCTCCAGCTAAAAGCAGGAAGATTGCACAGATTAGTTTTCAGCCACTAACCAAAGAACGTTTTACAGACCATTTTATAAAGCTCCCAAGTTCTAGGCTGTCCTTCCACCGTAATGTCTCTCAGGTTCACTTCCTGTGACCAGCAGGCGGGCTGTGGCCATGGCAGCCTGAGATGTCACTGTAGCCCGTTTTCAGCTGCTGCTTTACCACAGTGAAAACCCAGCACAGGCCCTGCGCCGTGCTCGGGCATTGAGCATCCTCTCTGCTCTCCCTGGCTCCAGAAGGAACAGCTCCCTTCTAGGACGGTGACAGGGCTTTTACCTGCACTCTGGAGCAACTGTCCAAGACCCACCTTCTGGCCACATGCGGCGGGTTCTTTCCAGGCCCCACGGGGGGGGGGGGGGGGACGACAGTAGTAAAGGTCGGTGGAAGGTGAGGGCAATTCACTGAGGGCAGCCAGAATGGATTTTGTCAGATTGCAACTAAAAGTTTTTTCTTTGAACAAAAATGCCCCCTTTTGAATTATCTCTTACACCTAAGACATAGATATTTCCACAACAAATAGTACGTTCACCAAAGCAAACCATGTCACAGCACTATTTTATAGTAAAGTGAGCTGTGAGGTTTTAAGGCAGGTGTTTTTGTGCTGGGGCTCAAAGCCAGGGCCTCACACTTGATGAGCATGTAGCCCTGAACATCAGCCCTGGCCTCAAAAGTTGCTTTAGGAAAAACACACTGGACCTGGAGATATGTTGCTCAGTAGTAAAAAAAAAAAGTGCAAGGTCCCCAGTTTGGTTTCTGGCACACACACAAGCCACATCTGTTTTTCTAGTGTTAACATAATGGGGCTTTTCATTTATTGGAACGCTGGGACTGAATCCAGAGCCTTCTCACTGAGCTACATCCCCGGCTGTTGCTGTTCTATTAAATTCTGATGCAGGGTCTAAGTCGCCCAGGCTTTGGATCCTCCTGCCTCAGCCTCCCAGAGTACGACTACCCGTATGCAATACCACATCCAGCTGAATGCACACTTTCACGCGTGGCTTTGCATCTGTCCTCCAGTCAGGTTTGACGGAGACCAGACTAAAATCTGAATGCTTAAGTATTGTTGGAGAGAAAAGTAGCAGGTGGGATTTCTTCACATATTCACTTTTAATAATTCAGCCCCCCAAAAGCCGAACTTACTCATTAAAGTTATTCGTCTTTGAATAAACTAAAGCCAAATTCATGAATTCAGGAAATGCTGCCATGTCCTCGGAATGCAGTGGGCATGTTTGTATAACCTTCCGGCAGCCGGCACACACCATACCTGGTTTTATAGGTACTCACTGCCACAGGGCAGGCCATAGCTCTGAGGGTCAGGGGTCACTGGGTGGTCCTGACAGTGGCGGTGCAGGCCACAGTGCCTTGCAACCAGCTCAGTGTCGGGGTGTGGCCTTCCCCCTTTCTGGCCACCTGCCATTGGTCACCGTGACCAACCCTCCTCCCTGGAAGTGGCTGCCATGGCTCGGGGCGAGGCAGTGGGTGCCCGCATCCAGGTTCCTACCAGGAAGAGCACTGGTGCCCGTGGACAGCAGCCCCTCACCTGGGCACGCTCATCCCTTGTGCTGACCCAGCCTTTACTGAGCTGCAGATGAAATCATCAGAACACTGGCGCCTGCTGTCTACATCTAGTGCTTTTGACTGTCCCTCTGAACTCTGCATCAACACTGACTCCAGCCGCAGAAGCAGGCGGCTAGTCAGGCCATAAGAAATGTAATCCCTAGTTCCTAGTAGCTTTAAAGTCTCATTAGTAAATGAGAAAGGTGGTCAGAGGCTGGACAACAGATGGCGAATGTCATCAGCTTTGTCCTCCATGTACAGCGCAAGGTTCCAAAGCAGGGCCCACACAGCTTGCTGTGACTTTTGGAGAAGGAAAAATCACACTTTCTTCTCCACTTAAAAAAACATTTAAAAAAAAGTATAAAGCCCTAATTACCCTGCTGCAGCTTTACACAGTGAGCAACAAAGGAAGAAAAGCATCTTCTGCCCAACTGTGCAAGGCAATGCTATAAAATGTTTGTCAATAATTTAAATACTTAAAATAATTTAAATACTTCAACAGCTTCCGGTCGGTCTCCCTTTTCCGGGCCACACTGGAAATCCTAGTTTGCCAGGTTGTTCCTCCCTGCAAGGTCCTTTGCTTCCAGTGAGTACCGGAGGACTGGCGCGTGGTGGGTGCAGCGGAAGCGATGAGGACTTCCGAGGGTGTGAGCAGGTCGGTGAGCGACAAGAGCCTCAGCTTATGTGGTTTGGTGCCTGGCCTCTTCTTTTAAGGTGTCGCTTCCTTATTTTGATCATCCACTTCACACTCAGCTTGGCAAACTCTGATGCTTTAAATAATGCCAGGAAGGCCCCACAAAGAAGAGCGATTGTGTTCCAAGGATTGGCTGTGATTATCTGTGAAAGAGAAACACAAGGCACAGCTTGCTTCAGTCAGTCACGCTCCTGTTTCTGTCAAACTCCACTCCTTCCCAGGGGATGAAGACCATAGGAAAAACACCTGGGCGATGAAACGCACACTATAGTCACTCTACACCTTTCTACACCTTTCTTGTCCCCCAGCGAGACCAAGGCCCAAGCTATGAACCCCTCACTATAATAGTGATTCTGAAAGAGAAAGTGGCTCCTGAGAATTTCTGCACAAATATATTTAGGACTGAGCTGTGCTTGGTTTTGTGTGACCCAGATGTAAGGTACTCTGCTCTGAGGTAAATTTCCCTAAAACCATACCCAGCCCGCGAGGAGGCCATTCCTCTTGCTTCCTGCCCACCCCATGGCTGCCTCCGTTTCTGCCGCTCCTCTCCTGCCTCCCATCTAGACTGATGCACACTTCACAAGTGCTGCGCCCTCTCCCATCACCAGGCTAAGACCCTCCAGGGGAGCAGCGGAGCTCTTTATCCTACAAACTCCTCCCACTTACTTAGCGCCTGGCATTAGTAATTTAAAACAAAAGATTGCTCCCGCACTGCTGTAAGCTCTTTAAGGCAGAGGGGCTGTGCTGGACTTGCGACTCCACCCCTTGTAAGCCTGAGCGGGCAGAGCGGTTGACATAGGCAGCAGCTGAGTGGCAACCTTAGGTATGGGCTACTGGCCTCAGCAGGAGGGCTGTGGGTAAGCACGCTAGTGCGCATCGCACAGGTGAGGCACCTTCTACCGTTCTCCTCCGCTGTTCCCTCACAGTGCCAATGGGTGGCGATGGGAGCCCCCACCCCACCTGGGTCCGAAGCTTTCATGTCTAGGCTCTGGACTGTCCTGCAGCCATGACTGTGTCAAGAAGTGATGATGTGATGACGCTGTGATAATGGGAATGCCAGTTACTAGGGACGAGCCCAGGGGTGCTGCATCAATAATGTTCCTATAGCAAACCTTCCAACGCTTTTTCTGAGACTGTGAGTCTGAGAATGTGGCACTGATACTTTATCTGTACCGTTCTGCTCTCACTTACCCCAAATAATAGCTACCCTACAGAAAACCATTAAGAACGAGTGACTTGTAGTAGGAATCTCGATGCAAATGCTTTCCATTTTAGTATCACTATGAAGCAGCCACTCTGTTAAGCACGCTGCTAGATCCCAGGAAAATGATGGCGGGCAGGATGAGGTTGCCACCTTCACAGACACAATGTGTCTAGCCAAGCAGGTAAGCTCAGTTGTTTCATATTCTAACAAGACAAGGACAGCAGGTGGACAACCCGCAGGAATGAGCCCGTGGGCAGCACAATGGGGAACTGGCCCTCGTTACCACAAGCCACACTCACATCTTGCACTTTCTGGATGAAAGGATCTTTCCATTCAAAGACCACAAAGAACAGCTGAGCGCTCCTCTCGGCAGCTGGCCTCCGATCGTTGAAGTTAACCACGCTGGTCTAAGACACAGAGGAGAGTTACACCTGGGGCCCCCCCTGGCTGGCCCCAGAAAGGACAGAGCAGACAAAGGGTCCCACACTGTGGCTCTCCCAACATCATCTCTGCAGTGGGATGCACAGGAAAACCTTCATTTACTCAGCTCCTGAGCCGTACCCATGACAAACACTGTCCCATGGCTTCTACGGCTCTCTGGGAAACACTAGGCGCCGGGATGCACAGGTGTGTTGGATTGTTAGTGAAGCCTGTTATCAGGCGTCCACACTCACTGTTAAGCCAGACATCAGTCAGAAGTAAAAGCAATAAAAATCCCAAATCTTAGAAAATACTTGATCTTGGCAGCTGGGTATTTCAACCCTTCCAGGCTCAGCTCCCAGAGCCACGCAGCTACACATTCCTGCAAAAGCGAGCTCAGTAGGCACAGCGTGCACTCTGGCTTCAAGTTCGGAAGCAGCTGGGCAGCTAACAGACAGGCAGATCTGGCCCAGCCCACAGCACAGGGCTACCATGTGACCTCGCACTGGCTGCCTTATGTGGCACGCCTAGGGCTGAGGGTCAATCCCAAACTCTGAAGCAAAGGTAAGCACATTTGAGTTTTGTTCAAAAGAGCCCACAACTTCCAACTCAGACAATACTAGGAGGCATTAAGAATGGGCTTGCTGGTGTGCTCAGCCTTTCATTCAGACCCCAAGTGTCAGACTATGTAGGCTGCACCTGGCTCCAAGGTAGATGAGGTAACACTTCTTTCCCCAGAGCCTTTGTGGGGCCAGCTGAGGAGGGCTTGTGCAAGTGCCTGGAGCTGTATGAGGGGCAGAAGCCCAGGTGACCACCCCATCTCCATCCCTGCCACCACACACATCTTCCCGAGCCCCACCCCCAGGAGAGGCTTGGCTCCAAGCCAGGGGCTGACCTCCTTCTGAGCTGACCTCCTGTCGCTACAGAAGCCAGTGTCCGCACGTGTACACTTACGAATGCACAAGAGATGGGACGTGCGGTGCTGCTGCTACACTTACGCTGCATACAGCTGAGCGTTCAACAACAGAACAATAATAAACACAAGAAGCCGGCCAGCAGTGCCGCCGCATCCCAGCGGGTCCCTACACTGGATCCTGGGCGCTGCTGCTCTAGTCTCTTCGAGTCATCACCTGCCAAGCTGCAGGCAGCGGTACGGCAGCCAGCATCAGACACCAAGACGAGTGACAGCCTTTCTGCAGGGCGCAGTGACTGCTGCTCCCTGCCCAGCTGGCCATCATGGAAGGCGCCAATTCCTGGGTGCAAAGGTCCCCCACCCCAGCAGCAAACCCAGGGCCACTTACCTCTTGCCTGAACTCCACTGCCTCCCGCCCATCCTCCTCCTTGGTCTTCACCAGCGACATCTTGACCCAGGTGCGGAAGCCCCCTGAGAACTTCCAGCTGGAGTAGGCACTCTCGCAAGCCTGCATGAAGCCCGCCTTGTCCGGGCTGGAGGCGGCGGGGGAGAGAGGCTGCATGAGCAGCAGCTACTAGCAGATGCTGCCGTTCTGTTTCCTCTCCAGAACTCGCTTCCTCAACAGAACTGTCTGTCCATCCACAGCCAAAATGGCAAGCTCCACTCCCTTCTCCCCCTGTGGCTGTCTCACGCGGGGGGGGG